ATGGATTATTCCAGAGCCAGGCAGTGCTGTCCTTTATGCTTGGGAAGGGACACAGTCAAGGGGTGGGGGGTAATTGCTTCAACTAGCATTCTCTGCCCCCCATAGTTGTGCAAGAAATGGCCTGGGATGGGATCTGGGTAGTGAGGGGAGTGTTCCCTCTTGGCTGCCAGGTCCTGCCTGTGGGCAAGTCTAATCTGCCTCACAGCCAGCACAGGGTCAGAGACTAATAGGTTATGAGCAAAGCAACAAAACAAGCAAGGGAGAAATTCTCACACTTACTTAGAGTGATTAGCTGGAGAGCAGATGACCCAGGGCTGGGTTCTGCAGGATGCTCTGCAGCCCCAGAGCAGTGTTCCTGTGCAGGCTCTCTGGGAAGCAGGTGTTGGGTGCAAATCCATGTGAAGTTGACTTCTTTGGTGGGCTCTGGGGATGCCTCTGCTTGATGGAGCACTTGGGGAATCAGGAATTCAGGCCTTGCCTGGGTTGTTCTACAGAAATTGGTGTTACTGGATGTGACTGTTCTCTCTTCCATAACGGGAGTAGCAATTCTTACCTGTGTAGGTGTGGGAATAGCATGGAGGGTCTATGTGTTGTGCTCCAACAAGACCATCCCTTGGCCCAGTGTGTCAGATGCCATAAAGGTGTCCAAGGGGGTTGTTTTCAGTGGCTCCTGGTTTGAGGTGTGATTTGAGGAGGCTGCTAGAACCACGGGCGATCAAAACCTCCCTGCTTGGCTTTAGCTGGTGCTCTGGGGTCTCATCTCTCTGCGGTCAGGGGGATTAGAGTAAAACCTCCTGGCTTGGTGCTCTCATTGGCTGTGCTGCCTGGAGCGTGGGGGTTTGGATTTGTTATGCATCAGGAACTATAGACAGTTCCTGGAATTGCTGCTAAAAACTACTCATATTCCAGGGCTTGTCTACACAAGTGTGGTTAGGAGTATGTATCAAAGGTGTAGATCAATGGGAAGTGGTTAAACCACGTGAGGTGTTGTATTGACATTAACACACGATTAAAGTTGGTTTGTGTAATGGATGAATTTTGGAAGGGAAGTCAGGTAAGCTGGAAAAGAAGCGACATTAAATCTGATACAAGTGTCTGCACAGGTGTTTCACTGCTCTGGCTGTGGATAGGTTTGAACTGAGCTTTGGCTGAGTGAGGGCAGCCCCAGAAAACAATGGGAGTACAGTCATTCCTATTTTAATAAGCCTGTTTGGAAAACACATTTGACAAACAGCCTTTCTCCATAATATTACCACAGGGGATGGTAATCCCTTCCTCCAGGGAGGGGTTTGCACCAGGTCTCTCGGGGATTTCTGTAGCTGCCAGTGCACTTTGAAGTAAGGAGAGCTTCTTGGTCCCTTTGGCCTCAGATGGAGGTAGAAGTTGACTGAGGTGCAGCTCCCAAAGGTCTTTAGAAATGTCTCTGGTAACAGCAAGCTGGAGAAGCAAGAGGAAGACCACCAGCCATCCTTGGCACTGAAACAGAATATGGTCAAATACCATGAAGCCCCCTGGCATTTCTGCCCTTGTGCCAGGGAGCAAGGGAGTGCTCCCACCAAAGCCATTGCTGGTGCAGGGCTGAGGTCAGGCTGGGAAGTTTAGCCATGCCTGATTTGAGGTTGTCATGCTAGTATGTGTCTCTCCCTATTTCTGAGCTCCCTGAGATTCCTGTGTGTTGATGGAGATTGATTTTTGCCTTTGGGAACCTGAGGGTATACATTGTGCACGGAATTGGCCTGAGCTGAACTAGGACAAACTGCTGATGTGTTTGTTCTCCTCTGCAAGGGGTGGATTTTACAAGCTGCCTCATGGACTGTGTGTGGCTGAACAGAACAGGAAAGGGGAAGGTGAAAGACATCACCCGTAGAATCATAGAATGTTAGGGGTTTGGAATGGAGCTTAGAGATCATCCATAGCCAACCCCCTGCCTTGGTCAAGGACACCTCCCACCAGAGCAGGTTGCTCAAGGCTTTATCCAGCCTGGCTTTGAACACTGCCAGGATTGGGGCAATGGATGTGCCATGGATGGCACTATCCATGTTGAGTTGGAACATTTTACCCTCTGCAATTAATAACTTAATTCCCCTCCCATTCAGGGGAAAAATATAATCCCAGCCATTGAAATCTGTGGAGTTAGCCTTTTCTCTGCTTCATGTCTTTGCTGACCATCAGGTTGTTTTTTTTGAATGAGACAGCAAGGGAAACAATATTAATCAGCCCAAGCAGCAGCAGCAACCACTCCTGGTGTCAACAGTGCTGGTTCCAGCAGCTCCCAAACTGGATGGATGAGGTGGAAGCGAAGGTGATGGCCAAGGCTGGAGCAGGCAAGCTCAAAGGTCAGGCTGGGGAGGGCTGCAGGGGTCACCCCCTGAGTTAATGACTCTCCAGTCCCTAAGCCCAGTGCTGAGCACGCAGTGTTCGCCCAGTGATTAAGATGGAAATATGTTCTCCTTGCTAAAGAGAGCACATAAACAGCCCATAAACTGCCCATTAACCCACAAAATCGCAATAAAGAACATGTGGTCAAGCAGCCATCAGGGACCTGTGACCTAGCAAATGCCTTAATGGCATTGTGAACCTTCTCGGGGGTGCTAAATGTAGGTAATGGGGAATTGGCCACGAGGAGGGGAAGAAGGGAAGAAAGAAGGGCTGATGGACATTGAGCACCCAGGTTAGTTTGGAGCATTTCTCTTAGTTCCTCTCACTGCAGTTTAGTGAGCAAAATGTGTAATGATCATGTTATGGATGGACTATTAGGCTGCTACCTGAAAGGAGGTTGTAGCCAGGTGGACGTCAGCCTCTTCTCCCAGATAACAAGAGACAGGATGAGAGGACATAGTCTTAATCCACTCTAAGGGAAGTTTAAGTTGGACATTAGGAAGAACAGAAAAGTGTTTAGGTATTGGAACAGGCTGTCCAGGGAGATGGTGGAATCACTGTCCCTGGAGGTGTTTAAGGAAAGACTGGACGTGGTACTTAGTGCTCTGGACTAGTTGGCATGGTGATGTTCAGTTATAGCTTGGATTTGGTGATCTTGGAGATCTTTTCCAACCTTAATGATTCTGTGGTAGCATTTCCATGTAATAAAACCACTTCAAAATTACTCAAAAGGGAGAATTTTCCCATTGGATCCAGTGGATACTTTCAGCAGCTTGAGAAGCTCTGCAGTCCCTTCTCTACAGCCTCTTCCATGCACCAGCCACTTGCTGTGCTCCATGTTGCTTTTTGCAGGAATAGGATGGACATTTATTTGTTTTCTAGCTGTGATACTTGAATTCTGTTTGAATATAAAAGTATGTTGAGAGTCATTAGTGCAGACTGAGGGGATGATGGAACATGCATGTTACAGGTACTCTGCCATCTCATCCCCCCCCCTGCCATGGGCAGGGACACCTTCCACCAGTCCAGGTTGCTCCAAGCTGCATCCCACCTGGCCTGAACACTCCCAGGGATGGAGGAGCCACAGCTTCTCTGGGCAACCTGTGCCAGTGCCTCAGCACCCTCACAGGGAAGGATTTCTTCCCAATATCCAATCTAACCCTTCCTTCTGTCAGTTTGAAGCCATTCCCCCTTGTCCTGTCACTCCAGGCCCTCTCAGAAGTCCCTCTCCAGCTCACCTGAAGTCTGTGGGAAGTTGAACTCTGCCTTGTGATGGGGAGGCTGGTGTGGCAAGGTACTTGGGTGCCCAGAGAATTCCAAGGGCAGTCAAAAAGAAATCTATATTACAGAAGCATCATCACCCTAAGTGATGAAGAAATGAGTTTGCATCAACTTTTGCTGAGTAATTCAGGAAGAAAGCTATGAAGGTTTAAGACCAAAAAAAAAAAACCCAAGAGGAAAGGTTATGTTTCTTACTGGTTTCTTTTTTCCTGTTGTAAATTGAGACTCTCTTTACCCAGGAAAAATCAATGTGGTTGGATACCTGGTGTAATGAATTATTTTGCAAGAGGCAGCCAGCTGATCTTTTGAAAAGAAAGGAGTTTTGAGCAGAATCGTTCAAAGTTCATAGTCTGGTGTGTAACTCCAATGCTGATAAACATCCAGCAGAAAGGATGTGTCTTCAAATTTCACATGGTCACACCTTGGTTTTAAGGTGATACACTCAGAAAAAGGCTGTAGACCCCAAAGAAACCCCCCAGGAAGGGGACTCCTGGTGCTGTGTACGCTGGTTGCCGTTGGGAGATGCTCTTAGGCTTTGGGATATGGACAGTGATGCTCTTGGGTTTGGATTTTGAATCACATGTGGTTCTTAACCAGGAAGGGGTTTCTGCCCCTTTTCTTGAGCTCATAATGCAAATGGACTTTGCTTGTACTGTGTGTTGAATATGTTTTTTTTAACCTAAACAGGCAGTTTTATCCAACTGGGACCAGTTGTTATTTTTCAGTGCATTGGTGCCTGACTAAATGCATTGGGTCACATTCTTCACGTATAGATGAGACTACCCTACTGTTAAATATTCCTGTGCTTTCCAGCGCAGGGCTGGGGAGGTTCCAGCCTGCCTTACAGTCCAATGGCAGCCCAAACGTGGCTGGCAGGGAGGGAGGGGAAAGCCAGCCATGGGATGCTGTGCCAACAAGCCCCAAAATGGTTTGGCTGAAACTGGTTTTAGGTCATATAAAAAAGAGGGTGAAGGACCTGGGCTGCTCAGAGCACAACAAGTCCTCAGGCGCACACCACAGGGCATATTGGTTTTGAGCTCTTTTTTTTACAGGGGCTGCAAATTGCTGTAACATAGTTAAGGTCTGTAGGAAGAGACAAGTTTTCCTGAACTTTACTCCCAGCTTGAACTTGTAAGAAGTTCAGTGAGAGGCAAGGAAGGGGAGAGAGGGAGCTAGAGGCACCCTCGCTCACGCCCCTGCGTCCGCAGCTCCGAGGATGTCAGATGGCAAAGGCAGCCTGGAGAAACAGCTGAATGGCCTTGGGGAGCAGGGGAAGGAGAAGAGCAGCACATCCCTGGTCATCTCTCAGGCTGTTAACCGCAGTATTTTCACCTCTGCAGTCTCCCCTGCTGCTGAACGCATCCGCTTCATCCTGGGAGAGGAAGATGACAGCCCAGCGCCACCGCAGCTCTTCACGGAGCTGGATGAGCTTCTGGCCATCGATGGACAGGAGATGGAGTGGAAGGAGACTGCAAGGTGGGTTGGTTTTCCTTTACCCTGGAAGCGAAGGGCAGCCAACAGGACTCCTGTGGGAAATCCCTTGTTTTACCATTCCGTTGGGTAAGATCTATGCTGCAGGATTGTGTGGGGAAGCCGCAGGAAGGAGCCTGGATAGGTAAAATTAGTTTTTTTTTATAAATGAGAGAATCTGGGGGTTTGTTTAAATATTCCTTTAAAGCAAAACCTAGGAGACTGATTGGAATAGTTTGCCTGTGGGGAGCCAACTCTGGGCTCAGTGGTGCTGTGCAAAGGGTGACACTATCTTGGCCAGAGTTGCCAGAAGCAGGTGCCTGAGACAAAACTGCTTCAGTTTTATTGCCCCAAAGTAGCTTTTGAGCCTGGCCCCATCACACACCACGAACCGGGAAATTTAAGCTGTTCCTCTCCTAGCAAGTTACTGATGGAATTAATTTTAAATAGAAAAAAAACCAACCTAGAGGTCTTTTCTTGTGCAGAAAATATTCAAGGTGTGTGTTAAATGCTGGGTGCGGTTGCCTGCTTGGAGTTCGTTGGTTGGGTTCTGGGTTGCTACTGTTGGTTTGGTAAAAAAGCCATACCAAAAAACTGGGGTGTTTTTTGGATCTGTTTGCCACAAGTTACATGGAGTTTATTTCTGAACACCCCCAAAAGAGCCTTTGGGTTGCATTGGTGACCTTTTTCTAATCACCCTTGCTGAGCTTGGGACGTTTCCTCTTCCTTTATGGTGACTGGGCTAAACTCCTTCTCCACCTCCCACTCTTTGGGGCACTGTCTGTGTTCATACTTGGCCCACGTTTGGTTACCTTAATCTTCTTTACCTGTGATTTAATGAGCTGCTCCACCACCTACCCCTTTACCTCCTTATCTTGCTTTATTTTTACTTTGCCACTTGGGGAACTTACTTAATGACTTTTCACCTTTTACTCTTTAACTTCTGACTTGTTGGTCATCCTTTTCTCCCTTTATTGCTTCTCTTCCCTCTTATCATTAGTTCAGTCCTTTCTGGGTTTAGGTGTTTTCATATATCTTTGGTAGAAGTGCTGCATGGAGCTGTGTGTGGGATTGTCTCAGGCTGTTCTCGCAAGTAACAAGCCATAGGATGAGAGGAAACGACCTCAAGTTTTGCCAGGAGAGGATTAGGTTGGATATTGGGAAACATTTCTTCACCCAAAGGGTTTTCTGCCCAGGGGAGTGGTGGAGTCACCATCCCTGGAGAGACTTAACGGACGTGTAGATGTGACACTGGGGAGCATGCGTTAGTGGTGAGCTGGGCAGGTCTGGATTAATGGATGGACTAGATGATCTTGGAGGACTTTTCCAACTTAAAGCATTCCATGATTCTATGTATGCATCACACAGGATGTGGTGAAGCACCGTGTTGAGGTCCTGTGTGATTGCTAAACGTAGCCCAACCTCCTGCCTTGCAGTCTATCCTGTTCGTAGTGATCTTACAAAGTGTCTGACTGCTCAAGATTTCTCAGTATCTTCCTGAAATGACTTAATCTTGCACCACAGAAGCTGCTGAGAGCTCCCAGTGCAGGACACACCATCCAGAGCTGTCTGGCTCTGCACTTCAGTGGCCACAGGTCCTGCCAGTGGTTTGCTGGGTTTGTTTTAACATCTGCTTCTGCAGAGCAGCTCCCTCACAACTGAGGAGTTGCATGGGCAGCTTCTGAATCCAGGAAAACGTGCAGGGCTGTCAGGTTGGAGGGGAGAGGAGAGGACAGAGGAGACAGCCGTGGGATTGATGCTTCCCCTCGCCCAAATGTGGAACTGCACAGCTCTCAGCTCAGAGAGCGATGCTGTCTGCACATTGATGCAGGGCAAAAGATTATCTCCACTGTTATTTGAGAAAACAATCAAATTACCTCCCTCATCTCCCTCCTGCTTTCTTCCTGACATCTACACATTCCTTCTGTCTGCCAGCTGCACCTCAGCAACAGCCAGTAAACACCCCTGTGACTTAGAGAAGCAGCAAGATGTGACACAAACCATCCTCGTATGCCTCTTGGGCCTTGGAAGCTGCGCTGACAGCTCCAGCAAGGCTCTCCTGGTACTGGGGACTTCTGAATTCGGGTACCTGTCAGCATCAGTAGCTCCAGGGGCTGAGGTTTGTGAGAACAATCTGCCCCCAGGCACTTGGTGACCTCCCCACTGACACCCTGTGCCTGGGAGCGACCAGCACAGTCGATGTCTGCGTGCTCTGAAGGTATCTTGTATCTCTGGTGGCCAAGATGCACAAGGCATCTTTCATTCTGTGTTTTTAGAGCTTCAGAAAGGGCTGTGTGAAAGGTGTGTTAATATTAACACATGTAAAAGGGTGAAGGATATATATGTATAAATGGATATAAAGGTACTTCCTGGCAGAGCAGTATAATTGTATAATTGTATAATTAAAAAAGACCTTAATAGAAGTTTTAAAAGCCCTATCCACCATCCCACAGTCCTGTCATTCCTTTTCTCTCCATTCCCATCATCTTCCTGACATCTCCCTGCCTTGGTGAATGACAATTCCCACACTATGGTGGACATGTCGTGGTCCCCAAGTGTGCTGCACTGAGCCTTGGAACAAGCCGCAGGTCTTTTCCTACTTCGCTTTGTGTCCTGTAACTACCTCTGGAATGCAAACATTCCCATGCTAGAGCAAGGTCTGGTCCATCTGCATCCAGTACGTCAATACAACCACCAACAAGGAGCACCCAGTGACCCAAATCTCCACCTTTTAACAGCAAGAAATCTTCCTTTTGACTGCTCTATTCCTAGTGTATTTATAGAGCCTTGGTGTGAAACCAGTGTTCCCTAAGGATGTTGATCCATAGGAGCCCTTTATTGTGAACTGAGGAGCTACAGGAGAGCTGGAGAGGGACCTGGATAAGGTCATGGAGTGACAGGACAAGGAGGAGTGGCTTCCAACCAACAGAGGACAGCGTTAGATTGGATATTAGGAAGAAATTC